GGGGGGGGGGGCGGTACGGCAGGGCTGCAGTGCTCTTATGATGTTCGCAGAACGGTAGTTAGCATGATTTGGCATTTTCTACTGCTTCTCCAGCGGAAGTACTCCTTAGCGACTGCAGATGCCCAGAATTTCTATTTTTACCATCAGAAAGCCTACAAATGCAGGTTGTTTATTACTGTTTATTAAAGCGTAAAATTATAAAGCATATCGGTTCAATGCACCCTGTTACGACTAGTCCAAAAGGTCTGCGAAGGCTTCATCAGTTACTATTACAGTATTAGCTCTAGCGGTAGATATTAGCGCTCTGTAATGGATGATTTGACCGACTGAATTCCATGCAAAGGATTCTGGCACTTCGACTGGAATCCCGAACATAACCTGTCTTTGATACCTCAGATCAGTCAATCTTGGTTTACTGAAGGAAAACAGTGAGGCGGCCAGAACAGCAGAGGGTGAAAAATTAAACGCTTATTTACAGCGGCGTCGAAAAATGTATTTCAAGTATTTTATTCATTAGAATGAGATGTGGCACAAAGGGAAGTCGTTCGGGTTTACATGTCATAGGTGTTATGAATCTTCAGGTGCAACAAATTTGTCTTTAGCCAAAAGTTCTCAGCTACAACAAATTCACTGTGCTTCGTGTGACCAGCAAGAAAACACCCAGCCGTGTTGTTCCATGTGTGCGGATTATGGCTGTCATATTGGCTTACATGAGAGCTGATTTAAAACAGCACAAGATGCAAGTGCAACCTCCAAATAAAAATTAACTTGCTGTCTTCTTCCTCTTTCCACGTTCTTCTCTTCATAACCATGACGTCATTCTAAAACAGAATCCAGATTAGAGCTCATTACGGATTCTGTTGCTGTTAGGATCAATGCATAAATTTTTTATTCACCTATTTGTCGTTTGCGTATTTCTGAGTAACCTATGAGGTGGGTAAAAACGAACTGCAGCCTTATAACGGACACATGAGCTATCACGACCGCAGACTTCGCACGCGCGTGCCTGACCGCATGCGAACACCTGAATGCCATGCTCTCCCTGTTGTTCGCAAGTCAGCGACTTGCAGCTAGTTTCTCGGCTATTTGCATGGAAGCACAGAGGAATTGAGTTTCAGCCTGGCACTTCTAAAGTGCAAGGTAAACCAATTATTCATATGCCCTTTGACCTTCTTACCTGCCCGCCCACCCATTCATTAATTAATTGCATCATTCGAGATGTTCTATTCGACATCAGGTGCTACAGGTTGATGCACACTCAAAACTATCCTACCCTAAATGATTGCTCACACGGTGGTCAAGCGCCACTATCCTGAGACATGTCTTCAGAAGTTTGATCATTTTGATGCTGAATGAGCGTTGACGTTTTGTGCACGGATGCTTTCTTATTCTTTATGTCTATGAAACCTGTGTCACAAAGTTTTATGGTCGTACAAGATTTAGGATGTGACGCACGGTTCGTCTTTCAAACGGTTCCGGTCGCGGCCGGCTGTGCATTTGGCGCCATTGTTTTACTAACGGTAGTGGTTTATGGTTATTACCGTTGCAAACGCAGATTAATCAATGACGTCAGCTCGTGGGCACCGATGATGAGCCTGAGCCAAGACTTTCATTGGGAGTCATGTCCCGACATATTGACTTTGCAGGACAGGCCAGTGCTGAAGGACGACAGCGGCTTCTTAGAAGATTTCAAGCCGGACGCCAGCTGCGACACGTTGTCCTTCGTCAGCACGGCGATGAAGAGGGACGCTTCAAGCTATTACTTTTTGACGCTTGATTCCGAACATATGATTCACGACAATTCGTGAACTACGTGCGGTGGATTATTTTGTTCACATGTTCAACAACTTTTTGCGGATGATTTCCGGTT